GAATACTACTCTAAAGATAAGATCAGAGTCCAGGCGTCACTGACAAAGTCAAAGGACCCTGTCCCTCTGCCAACTCAACATGTAATTTTATTGCAAAGGTACTCTGTAGACACCTTGATCTTTAGTCCCTGTAAGTTACACCTAGAGAAAAGTATCTATATATCTATCCCTTCAACTTCTGTGCCTAGAGTCCCTCTGTTGTCCTCTCTTTAGGTGGGGATATTCAAATGAGAAAAAACAGAACAATAGCAAAGGCGCTTTGTTGTCATACCGATGCCTCTTGTGAAGTAAATGGAGAAGCATGGTAAATTGTAATTCTTTCCTAAGACTTGATAAAAATTAACCTTGGGCCAATGAAGTAATTCAAATTAATGTACGTCGAGAATATACAACAGAAATGAAGTAAGGCATTTTGATTTTTTTGCAGCCAGTCAGCAATTTAGGTTTTAAAAATGGATTTATTATTTTTATAGTTTTTAAAGCTTTTTTAGTGTGGAGGGTTTTTTGTTCTCTCATTTTCTTTTAATATGCCTGCTTCCAGTATTCCTGACCATAAGGATTTAGCGAGACGCACCCATTTAGTTAGCGGCCCGAAGATTATTGAATGTAATTACGTAGCTTTTCTTATTAAGGCAAGTTACATAGTATATTATTTAGGGTGCAAGAAATCATGAGAAGGTCTAGGAAAAAAATCTCAGGGGCAGAATATAGAACCAGAGCAAAAGATAGGACCGAACACAGAAAACAAATTGCAGCTAAAATAAAAAATGGCTTCACGGAAAAGACGAACCGTCAGACCCTGCACCAACTTCCGATGGTGCCGAGATTCTAAACAATATTAATATTTCTTGCAATTTGCATGGCAAAATGAAAAATCTTCATCTATCATCCTCAGACTCCATTTCAGCAACTGAGAGAACAACCTTCTTCATAGACCCCAAACAAACATCTAGAGGACATGAAATTAGGATATAAAGTATTTTCTCATTTAGGTATGTGTGGGCAGCAGAAACTTTTGATTTGTTGGATTCAGGTAGTTGGCCAATCACAGAAAAAAATGAACAATCAGCAACGATGCTTCTTAAGCAGTCAAGTTGTATTATTAGCCAATAAACATCCAGAAAACGTAGACCTTAGGTCCACTGAACATCATGGAAGACATTTGACTTCTTCATTGTAGCACAGAACATTAGCAAATAATGAAAAGATTAACCCCTTCGCGCTGACTGTCACGTATACGTGCCAGCAATGAACGCACTTACCTACCGGCCGACACGCAGGCGTGCCAGAGGATTGTTCCATTCTCTACCGACTGTCCGTATTTTCCCGTACTTTGAACGTTTTTCAAACTATAATTTCTGCCACAAAGATTGCACTGTATGTCCATATGGTTTCAGATACATGTAAATTAGACCTTCTATTGAAATGAGAGAAGCATGATCACATATACGTGTTTTGATTATATAAACAAACGGGGAAATAAATGTTTCCTGAATGGTGTGATTTATGGACGTCTCTTTAAATCGCACTTTATTCGCACGTGGTAGTTGTTTACTGTAAGTAGAGAAGTTTTTTTATTTGCTCTAAAGCGTTGGGTATTTCAGTTTGCAGTTTTCAGTTTTAGAAAATAATTAGATCTTGTTAGGATGTGAATTCTTTGTTTTTACCGTTTCAATGTCGAAGCGTCGAAAAATGTTTTAACAGAGCATGAAATAGCAGAAAATGATGCAAAATATTTCAGATATTGTTTCTGATATTCTGATATTGATCGAAAGATTAACTGAAAGACATTTTTTCAAACTTGTTCAAGAAGAGATGATAAGAAAATGAGACGACGATGCTTCATTTGTTCACGTTTTCCCGGGAAAAAATCCTCCAAAACAGCAAAGAGTTATTACGAGTGCAGGGAATGTAACGTAGGACTGTGTGTAGATCCCTGTTGTTCAAATTTTCATACGAAAAGAGAATTTTAAGTAATATATTTAGTTTTCAGATGTATAATGTTAAAATTCATAAAATGGTGAGTAATTAAAATAAAATGTGTAAAATATGCATATTAAACAAGAAAATAAGGTAATTAAAAGTATATATATAAAAAATATTTATAAAGCATAAGCCGTTTAAATACTCTACAGAGCATTATTAAACAATGTGTTGATACTTCGGAAAATTCGTGGATTTAGGCTTAGTAGCAAAAAAGCCCCCGCCCTGGAGAGAAGCTCGCCTAAGACACTGCCAGCCTCAGCGATAAGCGCGCGTTTTCACTACCCGGCTTGAAGGGGTTAAAAGATCTTGGCTTATACATTCTAAAACTAAAATTCAATTTTTGTACACCCTATGAGATTTATCAGAAACATGCCACTGCCACTACATCAACATTGTGGACTACAGGATTTATTAATTTTGAAAAAAGCTGCAGAAAGGTTAACTGAGCACAAAATATCTGAAATCCACAGAGAAGGCATGATTAATTGGAAAATTCCACTACAAATGAAATCATGTCAAGGCATCGATCATGACATTAAGAGACTAATTCACACAGAGAAAGAAAAATGGAGAAAGATCCTACAGATAGGTATGGATGCTGTATTGTATCTTTCAACAACCTTTCTTTCCGTGGGTCTGGTCTGATGAAACATACTCACAAAGTCTCCTTGGCCTAGTCAAGGCATTTTTTTTTTTTTTTTTTTTTTTTTTTTCCCCCAAATTTAATGACTCTGCTAGTTGAACATAACTCTTTTTAAGTACTAGAATACCTAAAAAAAGGACAAGTATGATATTTAACAAAGATAATTCAAAATGAAATTACTGATGTAATGGTGAAAACAATTTGCAAATAGCATTTTAAATTATATTAAAGAAGCCAAATATTATACAATAATGTTCGATTACATTCCAGATGTGTCGCATAGAGAACAAATGAACCAGGTGATTCAATACGTAAAAAACATATGGGGATGTGTGTGGAATAAAGAGAGCTTTATTGATTTTATAGAAGTTGGTGGAAAGACAGGAGAATATATTTCTCAATGGATTGTGGAAAAACTGACACTTGATGGTTTGGATATTGACAATGTCATGGTCACTGAGGATAACTGATCTAATATTGCCGGTACTTACCGGTCATATTAGATCCTGGAGTACAAGCCAGGATTACAGAAATGTATAAGCTGGCCAAATATGTGCGATGTTTGGCTCACTCTTTGAATCTTGTCAGTGTGCATTCTGCTTCATCTTGCCCCAAAGCAGTTAACTTATTTGGAATTATCCAAAAGAGATATAGCTTTTTGTCGAATTAACTATTCGATGGGATATTACAAAAAGATATACAAAAACCAACTTAAAAGGAAGCAGCCAGATGAGATGGTTGGCAAAATATGTGGCTGTGAAAGCTCTTCTAATGAATTTGCCAGAAGTAGTAAAATCCTTGAAAGAAATTCATTATCTTTCTCTTAGTGCGGAATCAAAGTACGAAGCAGAGCATCTGCTACATGTAAAAAATTTTGAACAACTTATCAGCCTGACAGTTTGGGCTAATATTCTTTGAGAAATCAATCAAATAAATACTGAAATTCAAAAGGAAGATATTATTCTTGCATGTTGCGTCGCATTAATGGAAGGTCTGACCAAAACTTTGCAAAAAATTAGAGAAATTCCTATTTAATATTGGATAGAAGAATCTAAAGCAGCAGCCGCATAAATTGAGGTTGAACCTATTCTGACAAAAGAACAAATTATAATTGTATTTGATCGAATCTTCTCAGAAATTAAAATGAGGGTAAACAAGGCTACTACACTTAATTCAAAATACAGTACAAAAATAGTCTTTTGCATGAATATGTAAATATTTATTACATTATCGGGCCTCGTGAGGATGATAGTAGAGTTCTTGAGTAGACTACATGAAGGCATTATTGTTAAATGAATATTTAATGCACTAGGTTAAAGTTACTGTTACTATCAAGAAATTGGTATAAAATTATTCAATCCATTGCATTAGTGATTTGTAATTTGCTTATTTGTTTAAATGAAATTTTTTATTATTTAGTAATGTGTGATGTGCTGTGCTGAGCTATTTTAATATTTAGTACTAATCATTTTCTATCAGTATCATTTATGAGTAGGTATCGTTGCAAATATTCAAAAAAAAAAATCCCCATTTCAGGGAAAATGTAAATTTGGTTATTTCAGTGCACCGGAGAAGCACGTGCATTAAGAGAGTTCGCACGGGTTTTTAATTATGTAACTTTTGGTTTGTATGTTCGGCCACCAGCGGCTGAGAGGTAAAGTCTGAACACTGGTAGTTCGGTCGGGGGTTAGAATCAAGCAAATTAGCTGGCTGCATGGGTGTTTCCACCGTTTTGCTCATGCGTAACTTGCATATGAGCCAATAACTCTTAGAAAGACCTCAGCGAAGACATCTTCCCTCTTAGGCAGGTAGCTCTCTTATGCTTTGCCATAAGTAAAGAAACTAAACCATAATAAATTTTACATTTTATCTCCGAAACTATTTACATTTCTGAGATATAACTATCTATAGTATTTCTACGTTTATTTAAAAAATTAAAATTTGTTAGAGAAACTTAAAGAATGATGGGTGAGGGTGGCAGTTTTAGATTTTTTCCCCGCCTAGGGAAAATGCTAAATCCGGCACTGTGACTGTGAGTATATGAACTGTAAGATTGGTATGAATCTTTCATTATTTTGTATAGTTTTATCGAATGCCCTCTGTATGTCATTCTTAAATTGAGAAAATTCAGTCTTGTTATCACAAGAAAGTACATCTTTATCAGTGACAATCCTAGAAACAATTTTCTGATTATTGAATTAGTTGAAGCAATTGAAAGGGAATATCTTGAATTTTAATTTCTCACTTGTTTTATTTCTAGCCCTTTTTATTTAGTAAAATAATAATAAATAATTATTAAATAATGTTTATTTAACATTATATTTTTGCTGTAATTCTATGTCATATATGATTTTTAAATGCTGTATTTTAGAAGTTCACAATGGCAAATGTGTTGAATATCCTTTTCCAAAGACTATCTTAGAGAGCCTTCAAATTGGTAAAGAAGTAAGCTCCCTTGTAGTTATATATTTCGATCTAATGTGTGATACATTTTCATTAAAATTTTATTTTTTAATTTAATATCTTTTTATATCTTTTGTGATTCTGTTTAAATCTATGGTGATCATCAAGAAACTCAACTTGCAAAGGGATTATTTGCCAGAATGAACACAAATGATTTGAGTTTGCATTAATGATTTCAAAAAACAGTTTAATAGATTTTGAAGCCCATCTGCAAAAATATGCATGTGTACCCTTCATGTGGGTCTCCTTTTAAAATGTATTCATGGAATTAACTTTTTCAAGTTTTGTTTCTGTAGTCTGTTGTGAATAACATCCACATTTATTTTTTAAATTAATAAAAAACACTTATAAAAATACAGGTAATTAATGTATTTTTTATATTCACAACTGTAAAAAATGACATATTTTCCTTGCACTCAAATGAAATTTAAATTATTAATATATTAATGCAGGAGAATTTTAGAAATTTGTGATTATTTAACCCATACTTAATTTTAAATGTAAACAAACTTTTGATTTTTAGAAAATTTTGAAATTTTATTAAAAAAAAATTTATTTCAAAACTTTCATAAATTTATCAGCATTTTTGTTCTTATATGTACATAAAAATAAGCATTTTAACAAAAATACATTAGATTTCCCTTTTTTCAACATATGCTTTTGGTATTGAGTCATCTGAAAAGTTCTGCAGTTTTTTTTTTTTTTTTTTTTTTTTTATGATAAATATAAATGAAGCAGTACTGAAACACAGGAAACTTTCGTGGAATCACATAGCATCATTTTATTCTGTGACTTTTTACCATCTTTCAGACAACTGGAAAATTCGTTTTTTAGAATTTTGAAGTGAATAAAAAGGTGAAAATCCAAAAGTCCAAGGTCTAGTGATATAAAAGGGAGTAAGACAAAACCTGTCAGCCTTACTCAATAAGTTTTTGGTGTGCATTCATTGACATTTGCGGCCAAACGTTTTCATGATGGAAGACAACACCTTGAAAATTGGTCAGTTCTGTGTGCTTTTGTGTGATTTCTGCTTTAAAAACTACCATTTGGCAACAGTTTTATTTTCCCCCCTGAATTTATTGTATGATTTGATGACAAAAATTCATAGCATACAGAAAGAATTACTTTTTTGGAGCAATGCTTTTGTTTGTAGTCCTGCCATACAGAAATCATTACATTTTTGCAATGTGGGCTCCCTCTTCCATGTTACTAACTTGTTTTAGTTTACTTCCATGATCTTTTCTTGTAACACTATTGTATAGTATCCACTTTTTATCTCAAGTAATGATCCATTTCAGGAAAAGTTCCTTCCCCTCCCCCCCCTTTTTTTTTTCTCCTATTGAAGAATCACATCACAAAATTCAAGAAAACATATTTTTCTCTGTTAAAAGCAAGGGGTACTCATACATCGTAGCAGTTACATACCTGATTTTCATTGAATTGTCATGTATTGTAATTTTTGGAAGATTTTAGTTCTTGAACTCTATTACTTGGATTTTTAGTGACAGCTTCTATTAATAGGTTCTTGTTTACAAAAAAATTTTCATAATGAGCAGACATTATCTTCAAAGCTGCAATTTCCAAGCTTAAACTTCTCAACCAGACCAGGGGTCGGCAACCTTTTGAGTCGGAAGAGTCAAAAATTACAATTTACAAAATTTCAAAGTTTTTAAAGAGCCACCAAATTTTTTCTTGCCAAGAATAAATAGTACTTGCATAAATAACGTTTTTTGATAAACAAAAACTAATGTATTTATTCATAAGAAAAAAATATCTATTTATTCATAAGAAAAAATATCTATTTATTCATAAGAAAAATATCTATTTATTCTTATATATAAATAGCGTTTTTCACAAAAAATTATATTGTATTATTAGATAATTACTTATTAGTTAAGTAAAAAATTAAAACAATTAAACATTTACTTACAACACTAACTTGTACTTCAATTAAAAACAATTGATCAAACAAATTCAATGGGAACGATGGCTTTGCATACAACAACGTACATTTGAGCAAACAAATTCAATGGGATCGTTGGCTTTGCATGGTTTTAGAAAGTTTGGATAAATTTGGCTCATAACTGGTTGTTTTAAGTTTCAAACATGACTCTAAATTTTTATTTGTTAGTTGGCTTCTTACTCTACTTTTAATTATATTCATGCAAGAGAACCCTTTCTTGCACGAATATGTCAATTCGAAGATAGTCAGCACTTCAAATGCCAACTTCTTCACCTCACTATAGCAATTTAGAAGACTATTCCATGCATGGAATATAAGTGCCTCAACTCTCGGCATTTTTTTAAAGCTCTCCACTTTTGTTGCATTACGTACATTTATTTCTGGTCCTCCAACTCTTCCAACTTGCTTTTCAACTCTGTAAATTTTTCACTGCACAAAGCTTTACTTTTTAAATTGATCAGTTGCATTTCTAGAGATTCAGTATCAATTCCAAATGGCTCAGTGTAGATTTCGTTACTATTTGTGTTGAGAGGGTTTACTGTGAATGCTAGAGTGGTTTTATTGTGGTTTTGAATTACTTCAAATCTGTCAGCAAATTCATCTTTAATTTTTTTAGTAACTGTGCTGAAGTAATTCGTGTCAACAGTTGCAATGGTTTTATGGCGATATTGCCTTTAGAAATTGAAAATAATGTAATTTACCGCTCTGAATATCTTTTGTAAAAGAATTAATTTTTCTTCAAAACAAACCAATTATTCTACCAAAACATAGGCTAGGTTTCCCCTTCTTTGCAGTTTTAGATTCAGCTCCTTTAATTTCGCTGTGACATCCACCATGAAGTAAAATTTTTGCAACCATTTGTCGTTCTCTAATTCAGGGTGATTAATGCCTTTTTCATTTAGGAATGTATTTATTTCACTCAAGTACAAAGAAGAATGTTTCAACACCTTTCGTTTGGAAAGCCATCGCACTTTATTGTGAAGAAGGAAGTCGGATTACTGAGTCTCCATTTCGTTTAAGAATTCTTTGAACTGACGATGGTACAGTGCCTTTTGACAAGATGCTGATAACAATCTTGATTACCAAATTCATAACCTCAACTATTTCGGCCAGAAATGTTTGGGCACAAAGCCCTTCTTGGTGTATTATTATGCACGTGTGAAACATAAGAATTTCATGGTTTATTTTGCTCTGAAAAATCATTGTTGCCCCTTTATTTTTTCTGTCATACTTCTGGCTCCAACAGTTGCTATTGAAACGATTTTATTTAAATCGATCTTATTGCCTTCAAGACATTTTTGCATGGCATTCGCTATATCTTCCCCTCTATTTTGTCCCGAGAGTGGTATCAATCCTATAAGTTCTTCTTTTGGATCTCGGGAAGACACGTACCTGACAAAAAGGGCAACTTGTGCCGTGTCTTTTATGTTGCAACACTCATCTATAGCAAGCTATAAAGCAGAAGAAAGCTGAATATCTTCCACCTGCAAATATGTTACATTTGAAGACATTTTAGCTTTTCTATCTTGTACAGTTTTAGTGGATAGTGGCAAATCTTTGGTTTTTTCCAAGATTTCTGATTTGTTTTTGAAATCACAAAACAGTTCTTCAGATGCACGTATGAAGTAATCTTTGACATACTCACCATCTGTGAATGGTTTGCCTTTTTTTTTTGCAATTTCTAATGATACCGCGAAGCTTGCCAGATTAACATTACTTGTAGATTGCGTCCAGTTACTTAACATGGAACTTGATTGCTGTTTTTGTTTTTGGATCTCATCGACAGCTTTTTTTCGTTCATCCTCGGCTGGATATTTACTAGCAAAGTGAGTTTTTCAAGGCCAATGAGACAAGTCGCAAGGCATATGAAAGTGAATGACTGCGAATTGTCGATGCTCTTCTTCATTTCTTCTCTCTTTTTTTTTTCGGGGGGGGGGATAAAATAAATAATATTTGAGTATGGAACTAAAGAGCCACAGATTGCCCACCCCTGAACCAGACTGTTTTGTCAGAAAAAGAATTTTTTTCTTATATAGCACAAACTTAATGGTATTTTTTCATTATGCACCTGCTGCACTTTTTGGCAAAATAAAAGCCACTGTGAAAATAAAACCAAACACATGTCAAGATATAATGATATTATCATTGGGGATCAAAGCCATTTGTCAATTCACACACACAAATGCACAAAAAAAAAAAAAAAAAAAAAAAAAGAATAAACAAAATAACAGGTGCATAACAAAAAAGTACAGGAACATACAAATACATGGTAGGTGCATAATGGGAAAGTACCAGTTTTATGAGCAGCCTGACTAGCATTTTTTCCTTTTTTAAAATAAAACAGCTTAATTTAACAAAATTGAACATTTGGGTTTTCCATGCTTAGCAGTGCACTGAAACAAAAATTATGCTAAAGCACATGTTGGAACTATGCAGTATGAGCAGAAATGACTGTATTTAAATATCCACTTCAATCAAGGACATTTTATTAGCAGAAACAAAATAATTAAAATAAGTTTGAATTTGAAAAAAGGCAAAACTTTTGGGATGACCAAATACATTTTGAAGTATACATGCAGTAGCCAAATCACATATGTGCATACCACACATATATCAGCATGTAACATTGAACTGTCATTTTACTAATCGGCATCTTCTGGCTGAAATGTAAATCCTAGCAACATAGATTTTTTTCCTCCCTCATAAAATTCCTTGTATTTTTTTTTTTTTTCTATATATAAAATGCTTCTTTTTATTGTCATTTAAAAATAGAACAATACCTATGAGTCTTGAAAAGTTGCCAATGAGTTGGTAACTAATTGGGGAGGGGGTTATTTTCTCATTTTAATTAAATTTTTTTTTTTTAAATAAATTGTTGCTTTTAGATTTTGAAAAATTTTTTTGGATTTTATTTATTTGTATAGCAGACAATTAACCTTCTTCAGGGCTTCTGTTAATTAAAAAAAAAAAAAAAAAAACCTGCTTTTTATCACGTGTGTGTTCACATGCATGCGTGTTC